GTAGCTGAAGCTACAAAGTGTTGTGGAACTTAAAGCAATTTCACTCCATCAATACAGCCCTTACTAACAAGTCTGATTTTTTCAGACGAAGAAAGTTTACAAGACGGTTGTGAGGCCTGCTATGATGTAAGGTTTGGAGACTGGAGACTTGGCTCTGACAAAAAGATGTGAGGCTGAGCTGTCGAGCTGAGATGGTCACCTGTTAAGACTGATGTGGACAAGGTTAGAAATGAATATATCAGAGTGACAGCTCAGGTTCAGCAGTTTGGAGACGACTTTAGAGAGATTGTTTGGACATGCGCAGAGGAGGGATAGTGGATATTTTGGACAAAGGATGTTGAATATGGAGCTGACGTGGAAAAAGAAAGAAGATTACGGAGAAGAGAGAGATGGAGGCAGACAATCCACTGCAGTGACCCTTAAATGAAGCAGCTGGGAGAAGAAGAAGAAGAAAACAGATGAAGAAGTTTCTTTATGAAACAAAATCGCATTTGTTTCCATTTAGACTTAAATAAAAAAAATAAAATTACATGGCTGCACAAAGAACTTGTTACTTCTGCATGTTTGTATCATCCTGATAATAAGAATGTTTTATTAAGTATGACACAAACCAAATGAAAAATATGTCAAAATCAGAAACACTTTCTGTTGTATTTTCTAACTGATACTGGCCTGCCCTCCACCCTCCCCATATGAATCAGTACCATTTACAGCTCTGTTCACATGTAGCTTTGCTGTGATTCTTCTCAAAGGGTTGTTGCCCTCTGTGCCGTTTCACACTGCGTGGGCATGAGTGTTTGGACTATGCTTTATTTGTCATTGAGCAGTCATCAGTCCTCTGCTTTCTTCTCGGCTAGTTCAGTGATTTTATACTGGGGAGCCACTGAAGGGAAGCCGGAGACAACCAGGAAAATGAAAGGGAGAAATTGCTTTTAAAAGGTATTAGTTATTTACAGAAAAAACAAACAGGAGTTTGCTGATTTTTGTGTTTACCTTTTCTTGCTACTGATAGGAGGAGGGGGAAAAAAGCTTGAATCACTGGGCTTGGCAGTGGATGAGTCACAAACAACCTGTGTAGATTACAAAATGGTGAAATCCCCATGCAGGGAGTTACTTGTCAATTAATAAAACACTGTGCTCATAGGGAAAGAAGTGTTAATTATTAAGTGTTATAACAGCTCTTTGCCACACATAATGTTTCAAAGCAGAATTTGTTATTTAAAGGAAGAGTGGTGAAACAAAACCTGTCTGCATTTCTGTATGTCAAAATGCTTTTTCACTAATACTGATGTAACAGATGTTCTCTCTATCAGGCACAGTAAAACTACGATGTCAGTAATTAATGGGTAAAGTTAATTTCCACTGAAGCAAATATCATGTCTTCACTAATAGCCTAGTGCAAAATCTAAACAGCAGTTGCTTCAAGCTGCTTGTATTGTACAGTAAAGATCCTACAATGAAAGAGAGAAACCCCCAACAATCAAACAGCCCCCGATGAGCAAGCACATGGAGACAGAGGGAAGAAAAAACATTTAACAAAAAGAAACCTCCAGAACAACCAGGCTCAGGGAGCGGCAGCCTGCACAACGGGGTGAGGATACGCCTTCACATTACCTTCACATCTGCGAGGCTAACCTGTGTTAGATGGCGAGTTTGAGAGCAGAGAGACAAAGAGCGCCAGTAGCGTAATCTGCAGGTGGATCATTAGTGCACCAACACTGCGTCGAGGTAACTGTACACTGTTTACGGGGATCGGTCTAAATTATATGTATTATAGCGCTGCAAAAATCAGGTCGGGTGAACCTAACTCACACATAACATAATAACACAATCGCTGCGTTTACTTTTGAGATTTATACCACTGAATGTTGTCGCTAAAGTTGTCTCCTAACCAGCTGTCTGATCATGGAAACCAGTTGACTACGTTAGCTGTAGCGGTGATGAAAAGCGCCTGTTATTGAAGCGGAAAACGCCTTTTGGAACTCTTATCTATCTGAAACATGAACATAACATAAACCACTTTTTTTACATTTATTATTCCTGTTTTCAGTGAGGAAGCTGTTGTAACTGTAAAGCCTTGAACTGATCAAAAACGGCACAAGACTAACAGAGGCTAAAAATAGACATCGTATTTCTCCTGTATCAGCTTCTCCTCGCTGGCTCTCTGGTCAATCTAGAGTTGAATTTAAAATGCTTCCCCTCACTAACAAAGTATTAATTATAATCTGGTTCAATCAAATCTGAAATGCGTGCCCATGAGAGGAGCCTGGCAGCGCTGACTCTACCAAGATGAACATCTCTTAGTTGAGCTGCTGTCAGGATGCTTGGGGACCTCCCAGGATGCACTGAGCATTTCTTCTCTACTCACCTTCCCCCCCCCCCTCACTCTCCAGGTATTTATAGGCTGCTACTACAAGTCTATGACTTCTATCTTATCTCTCTGAAGATTTGTCTCTCTGTGCTCCCCCAACATGCTTCCTCATAGGGGATCATCACCTCATCAGGGTTTTCTCTTATACTGAAGGGTCTTTACCTTGCTATATAAAACGTCTTGAGGCTACTTGATGTGAATTAACACTATAAACAATTAAAAAAAACACCAACTGAAATCTGTCAATGACTGTGACATTACCGTTTCCACTATCAGTGGGAAGCCAGATTTGGGTATTCAGCAAAACATGCAAGAAGTTCTCAATATGTGTGAGGCATTTTTTTCCCCTAGTTATCAAAATAAAGCAGAAAAACGACCGTGCAAAAGCCCATGTTTCTCGCTTAATATTTAACTGCAACCTATCAGTAAGACTCAGGTTTATGGAGCTTCAAAGCTGTGATAAGACGTACTTGCTATAAATTGCTGACATTTGCATTTCACTTTTTGGTAATTAACAAATCAGGCACAGATGACCAATAATCAATATTGAGTGCCAGAAATGCCACTCTTTACTTTGTTAGTGACAATACTCACACTACTGTGCAGACAAAAGTCACTATTGTGTGCAATCCTGAGCTTGCTGAGGTGATTCTGCTCTGAATAAACCAAAGCCTTTATTTAGGGAATCAGGAATTTATTCCAGAAAAGTTATCATAACCAGGACAAAAGCCCTTTCTACCCCTATGAAAATACATTAATGTGAGAAGTAAAGTAAAACACATGGCTCATTTTGGAGTTTTTACATTTCAGAACTAAAAATAATCAAAAGTACAAATAGGCAGGTACAAAAAAAAAAATGACATGCAGTTTTCCAAGTTCAAAAGTTAACACTAGCCGAACTTAAAAGTACAGTGAGTATGAAAAGGAAGGGGGGGTGGGGGAAAAAATTAAGCTTGCAATTCAAAATCTGCGTTGTTTATTGGGAGGTCCATAATCTCCAGGGCCGGGGAGGCCTCTGGGGAAGCCACCCTGACCACCTCCAGGCATGCTGTTGTTTCCTGGCCCTGGCAACATTGGTGAATTCTCTGCAGCCAAGCCAGGAGTACCAGCTGGACCAGAGCTGCCCCCCAGAGAGTTTCTGTTCATGGGCATCCCATGACCACCCATATGCATCCTCATGTCTTGCTCCCTGTTCTCAGAGAAGTTGCCCCTGAAGCCCTCCTGCTGCCTCTTCATCATCTCCTCATTGCGCAGCCTCATCTCCTCCTCTCTCCTGCGGCGTTCCTCCTCCTGTCGGAGCTCGGCTTGTTTCCTCTTCTGCACTTCCTGATTGTGGAGCTCCTCCATCCTTCGCAGCTCTTCCTGCCGCCTCAGGAGGTCCTGCCTCATCAGCATCACCTGATGCTCGTGTCTGGCTGCCTCCATCTCAGCCTCCAGCTTCTCCTGCGCCTCTTTCATGTTGCGGTCCACCATCTCATACTGCTGCTTCTCCATCTCCATCAGGGCCTTCCATCGCATGGCATACTCATACTCGAAGGAGCCGGGCTGAGCGAATCGTGGCGGCTGCTCACGCTCTTTGTGATACTGCTGGTTTTTGTTGACCAACTTTTCTGGCAGTCCCTCCTCTTCATCAAACTGTTCCATAGGCTCCACTGTAACAGGCCGGGGGAAAGCTGTCAAAAGATAAGCACCATCAGAGCACTTATCCAAAGCCTTTCTTGCAGCTGGCTTTGAGGTGAACTCCACTATGCCCTTCCCCGTAGGTCTCCCTCGGTCATCCACTATGACCACAGCTCTTTCTATCTGGCCAAAGACTGCGAAGGCCTCCTCCAGGAGCTCGTTGGACGCAAACTCTGGCAGATTCTTCACAGTTAAAGCAGCTCCGTGTGTCGCAAACCTCACCCGTATGGGCCTGCCTCTGAAGGGGGTATCATCTAGCTCGGCTCTGGCAATCTCTGCTATGATTCTCGTTTCGAGCCTAATGAAGCCGAAGCCTCTTTCCTTGTTAATAAATATCTCGCTGGCTTTTCCATACTTGGTGAACAGCTTCTCCAGGTCCTCCTCGGTAACACCCGTTGGTAAATTACCTACAAACAGCCTGCTCCGCTGGGTAAAGGTCTTTTCCCCGGGCTTTCTGAAGCTCTGCAGGTCCAGGGTTAAGGCCTCGTTGGGGTTGGTCTGCTCGCTGGGCTCTGGCTGCTGCCCGTTGCTGTTTGTTCCTTCGCTTTTCAGCTGCTCTCCCGGGCGGTTTGGGCCGCGGTTCTGCTGGGGGCCTCTGTTTCCTTGCATTCTCGCAATGGATTTAAAATCTGAAGTAGCAAATGGCTTGTTAAAAACACAGAAACTCTTTGCAAACGGTAGCGCACAAAGAGCTGTGAAAATGGCGAAGGTACGCGCTACGCTATTGTGACCTCAATTCGTTGCGACATCGGCGACGTAGTTTATGTGCGACGGTACGAGAAAAAACAACAATAAAACAAAAACGATGCAGTTATTTAAAAAAAAAAGTAAAATGTAAGTGTATAAAAATAACAAGGCTGCTTAAAATGTGTTGTATATATGTTTTGTTCCTTACTACGGGTGCTTTAGATTTTTGACTTTTTTTAATGTTTTCTTACTTCTCGCGATAGTTTGCCCTCGTACATAGAGACTGTCACCGGTGAGCGGGTGATTTCGCGGGAATTATTCCTGTTGCTCGCAAGCTACTGAAAATAAACGTCGATATCTGAAAATATCAACACACTTGATCTCAGAGGAGTAGCAACTGAAGTGCAAACGTCTATTTTCTTCGGTAAGGTCGTTATATATGTCATATTATATTAATTTTCAGGGTATTCTCATGAAAAGTCGGGGTGTTTAGGAAAAACCCAGACAACTTTACTTGCACTTGTAAGCATGTTATTGAGTTGACTGTGCTTTAAATTGATAGCCTTTGGAATCTAAAATAGACCCATTTCTATGTCTCCTGTGCTTTTATTCAGGACAGTCATGTTCTCAGACCTAAGTGTACAGAAGGAGGGCTCCTCTCTGCTCTGCCGTCCTGCCTCGGAGGACCAGGGCCCGGTGTTTGAGAGGACGTCTCTGGCTTATAGTCAGTGCTCTGAACGCTACAGAGTTGGGGAGCGGAGCTTCAGCCGCCAGTATGCTCACATTTACGCAGCACGACTCATGCAGATGAGGCCTCTGCTGTCAGAGAGAGCTCAGCAGAAGTGGGGTAAGCTCAGAGCAATCTTACCTACCTACATCAGGGACACTGAAACATTTGATTTCTATTTCTTAATCTGTTTTTTTTTCTGTTCTGTATCTCTCAGGATCAGATGTGGTTATCAAGAAGCTGTGTGATCTAGAAACAGCGGAGCAGTGTTGCATTGTAGGGACTCTGTTCAAGCGTATGGACTTGCAGCCATCTATTCTGAAAGAAATCAGTGAGGAGGTTGGAAGTAGTGCTAAATTCACCCCACATATTGAAAGCAGCTACTGAATTGTACTTTAACAACTTTCTTTTTCCTTGCTCTCCAGCACAACCTCCTGCCACAGCCTGCACGAGCAAAATACATTCATGAATCAGATGAGTTGATTCTGGAGGATGAACTGCAGAGGATTAAACTAGAGGGGAAAATTGACAAAGACAAGTGTGTCACAGGTTGGTAGTTTTTCAGGATGTCAGCATCACATGAGCTGTGGACGTATGAGTCTGATGTAGGTGTTTCTTGTTGTCTTTCTTAGGCAGCGTCATTGCAGTATATGGTGCTGAGAGGAACGATGGGAAGTTCACAGTTGAGGACTTTTGCACAGCGGATCTTCCTTTGCAGAAAGCAAGGCCTGCACTTGACTCTGACAGGTATGAAAACACATCTAATTGGTGTAAATCCCTGCCTGTAGTGATAAACAACATTAATTGCTTTGCCTGCCTTCATACAGGTTTGTGCTCCTGGCATCAGGTCTGGGTCTTGGCAGTACTCATGCTGACAGCATGCTGGGCCTACAGTTGCTTGTCGACATGGTAACTGGTCAGCTCGGTGACCTCGGGGAGCAGAGTGGTGCAGCAACAATTTCCAGGGTTCTGCTGGCGGGAAACCTCCTGAGTCAAAACACTCAAGACAAGGATGCATCAACAAAGGTGGGAAAAATGGTTTGAACCTTGTCATATAGTCACGTTCCTCCCAAGTCACTCATGTGAACTGGTTTACTTAAAACATAATAATAAATATTTTACCCTTTCTCTGTTTTTTTGTTTTTGTTTTTTTCCCCAGGCCAAGTATCTTACTAAGAAGACTCAAGCTGGCAGTGTGGATGCCATTCGTTTGCTAGATGAGTTGTTGCTTCAGCTGGTGGTAAGTCTGAAGATTTTGACACAGTTTACTTTAATGATAAATGTTTATGTTATGATTCATAACATCCAAGAGAGCCAAGGGAAGACCTGTGATACTGTATGAGAAAGTGTGGAAGGAATGATAGATGGGGATGGGATTAAACCAGGGATTGCCTTTGAGCCCTTCGTTTTTTGCAGTGGTGACAGGCTGACATATGAGTTCGGGCACGAATCGAATCTCCATGGAGTATGATATAGTTAGGCAACACTGCGATCTGTAGTAAGAGTAAGGAGCAGGTGGTGGAGGAACTGGGGAGGTGGAGGAAAGTCAGTCAAATCGAAACAGAATACATGTGTGTGTGAGTGAATGGGAGACGGGTTTGAAGGCGAAGGTGTAAGAAGCAGAGGTAGAGAGGTGGATGAGTTTAAGTACCTGGGGTCAACCATCCAAAGCAAGGAGTTAGGGCTACATCTAAAGATAAAGGTAGTCAACTAATCTGCCAATTTTTTTTTTTTAAATCCCCGTTTCCATTTTCTTCTGTCCTGCTTTGCAGTTAGCACTACTTTCTTCTTCTTTAGTATTGAGTTCAGTCTTGGCAGACGAAATAGGGGATACTGCCCCCATGGCCCCCTGTAGTGTATTGCATTTAAAAAACAGATTTACGTGGTATTAGAATGTGACACGTCGACAATAAAATTACATGTCGCTAAATTTTAATTGTTGACGTCATTGATTATAATAAATCGTAGCAGCCTCATAAAGACTACACTAGAGAGGTGAAGAAGAGCAGGTAGACGAGCTGGACATGCTGTAATATATGATGTATTGTATGGAGAGGGTGGTGCTGACAAAAAGACAGGATGTTGAGCCTGGAGGAGGCAGAGTTGAAGATGCTCAGAGTTTCATGGAGAGTGGGCAGGATGGACAGGACTAGAAATGAATTTATCAGAGTTACAGCTCAGGTTGAGCGGTTTGGACACTAAGTTAGAGAGACAGGCTGAGGTGGTTTGGGCATGTGCAGAAGGGTGATGGTGGATAAACTGGACTGGAGGAAAAGAGGAAAAGCACAGATTATTACCGTCTAAACAACTCTACTGTTTTGTTTTTTTTCTTTTGCTACACATTACTGTCTCCTGCTGATTAAGGCCTCGGTTCCTGTGGATGTAATGCCTGGCCAGTACGACCCCACCAACTACACCCTCCCACAGCAGCCTCTCCACCGATGCATGTTCCCCTTGTCGTCTGTTTACCCCACACTACAGCTGGCATCCAATCCATACCATGCCAGCATAGACGGAGTGAGGTAAGCAGCGTCACACATGTTGTTACAGTGGGCATGAAACACTACAAGTATACAGGCTAATTTACACTATAGAGCCCTGCTCTCAAAAACTAACATGGATATAACTCTGTTTGTGTAGCTGGATTTGAAAAATAAGTGCTTACAGTTTAAATTTTCAACGTGTTTAGCACTATTTCTTAAATCCAACTTCACAGACGCACTTAGCCTATGTCAGTTTTTCAGAGCAGGGCTCCATTCATGCCTCATATCCACTTTAATATTCACTTCTAGGTGCAGATATGTTTAGGTTTACATGTATTTGCTTGTTTCCTTGAAGGTTCCTCGGTACATCAGGGCAGAACGTCTGTGACATTCAGAGGTACAGCAGTAGGGACAGCCACTTGGAAATATTAGAGGAAACGCTTCGACTCCGACATCTGGCACCGACGGCACCTGACACATTAGGTTAGTTGATACAGAATAACACGCAGAGCCTCTGGTAAATCTAAACACACTATTGGTTTATTGACAAGATTTTCTCTGAATTGCTCAGGTTGTTACCCATTTTACCAAAAAGACCCTTTCATCCTGGAAGAGTGTCCCCATGTTTACTTCAGTGGCAATGCCCCTACTTTTGACTCCAAGCTCATCAAAGGTTAGTGCATGCCATTTGCATGTAAACAGAAGAAACTTTGTGGATGTTATCATATGATCTGTTTTAAGCTACAAATGTACTATTCACACAGACTAATGTGTAATAAATAATTAACTGTTGCTGCTCGTATTCTCATCCCGCCAGGTCCGGATGGCCAGGAAGTCCTTTTGGTTACCGTTCCAGAATTCAGCAGCACACAGATGGCGTGCCTCGTCAATTTACGCACTCTTCACTGTGAGCCAATCAGCTTTTCTGCCTTCTCTGCAGATGAAGATGAGGAAAGTGAGATGAACGTAAGCCACTGAGGACACAGCTGATGCTTTTTTTTTTTTTTTCTTTTGGCCAGAGAAGGATCAAATTAACTTCAATCCAAAAAACACAGAAGCTTTTCAATAAGATACATTTACCTCATGGGTCCCTTTCAGTGTTTCTGTGAAAATAACATTTGGGTTTTTTGTTTTGTTTTTTTCATTGAACTGAAAGAAAACCAGCAAATGAAAAAGAAAAGAAGAGACCCTCGTGGTTTAATAAGAAGCCTTTATTTGAAAAATAACTCTTCTAACCCATCTGTGTCTGAGAAAACATGACAAAAACCTCTGTACTCCTTCATCTGTTACCAAGTTCTCCCACATTTACTGAATGTTCACACTAAAAATATTTCTGCCATATGTGAAGATCGTGTAAATAACAGTTGTTTTTTTTTTTATGTGCATCCACAATAAACTTCTTTTCACGAAGCATTCGTAGAAGTGATTGAACAAGTCAGAGAATAATGAAGTGTGATCTTTGGAAAAAAAATCTAAAATGGTTCCATTTCTGTGAAGAGACCTTATTTCAAATGTTGATTAACAGATGTACTATTTTAATATAGCTGATATTCTGTACATTCCCATTGCTTACGTCGTACAAAGACGAGAGCCCTAATTTGATTCTTCAGCCAGCTCTAAGTACAACATGGCAACGTGAACTACAGTTAAGAGAGGACGGTGGTTTACTTGAAACAAGCCACTTGTGTTTTCTTTAATAGTCACTGATCTTGTAGTCATAGTCCATGATGGAGTCTGTGAAGCCGCCAGGAGTTGAGGACTGTCCCTCTCCCCAGACCCAAGATTCATACCAGGATGTGGTGGCCTCTGTTGTTGTGGGAATTGTGGTTGTGGTTGTTGTAGGGGGTAACGTCGTTCTCATCGACATGGCCTTCATTAATTTCCGCTGGCGAAGACGACGGATGAGAGCGATCTTGCGCTTCCGTCGCTGCTCAGGACTGAGTCGAGAATTTGTGGAAGACCCATTACTGGCACCGATCACACTCCTGTGGCCATTGTTGACTGTGGTGTACTGTACTCTGCTATTGCTGTAGGCAATTCGAATTGGCTTGTTGCCGTGGAGGGCCATAATCTGCAGAGAAATTAAAGAAAAAACAAAGAGGCTTTACTGAATACTGCTAAGATGCACATGCATCGAGGCACTTCAAGTTGGGACAGTCTTACCTGTTTAATGCGGTCCCAGTTGGACTTGGCCAGGTTGAAGCTGCAGGCAGTCGCACCCGACTCATAGCCAACCACACAGAGTTTGGTCAACGAGGAGAAGCCCTCAGCTCGAGCCGTCACGCGGTACTCCCCAGGGTTAAGCAGACGCCAATAATCCCCCGTTGGTGCTACAATGGCAACAGTAGTGTTGAGCACAGTTTGAGCTATGTTATATTTTATTACATCCTGAGTGATGGTGTGAACGGTATACTGACCTGTGGTCACATCGTGATTTATCCCCTCGATAGATACAGTAGCGTTTGCAATAGGGTTCCCCTGCTGATCTTTCACAATCCCTCTAATGCCGCGATGCACCTGAAGTACACAAATAGTTACATGAGTGAAAGAAGCAAAGTACAAGGTACAGTTGCTGAGTAGTAGTTCTCTTCAACTGCTCAGTTAAATCAGTAGTTTCATTTTTTCATGAGTGGACTTTGGAGTAAAATTGAGCAAAATTATACTTGGATTGATCCAAAAAGCTGTGGTTTAATGATTCAGTTATTCTAAAATGATTCCACTCAAAAATCATCCATTACAAAAGAATCATATTTGATCCTACTCCCATTTTTATGTTGCATTTGGGTCTTTTATATCGTTAGCTTCATAGCATAAGTGCCTAAGTCATTTTTTTGTGTTTTGTGTTTCAGACGGACAGGATGATGCAGCAGTGGTAGGGGAGTAAAGTTAGGCAAAAATCTCAATTTGACCAAAAAATGACTTAGGCACTTATGCTATGAAGCTAACGATATGTATAATATAATAAACTGTTTTGATAAGTGGTATATGAATTTAAACACCTGCGATCAACTATTCAAAGCAACAGACAGTTAACTTATACAGCCAAAGCAAACATTTGCCTCCAAGAGCTCCGCAAACTGTACAACATATGACATCCTCTGTCAGTCGACCCTCAGTGGACAAATCTAAGGATAAAGGGGAGCAACCTCGGGAAAACCAATACAGCGTGGGAAACATCTCAGTTGGACAGAGGAGGAATAACTGCAAAATCACAATGCTGTAAATCACAATTTTAGGTACTTTTATTTATTTTTATTTTTTAGAAATTTTAAAATCCAACATTATATCCAGCAGGATGTTGAATAGTCTTTTCACTACAGACTGAAGCACAGTCAGGACAGGCTACAGTTTGTGTTTGTTTGGGACTAACCTGCTCCATGAAGATGAGCATTGCTTCTCTGTTTTTCTCCCACTCATACGCCAGCTCGCTCTGATGAGGGAACTTATCACAGCCCAGGAAAATGGACAGCTCCAAACAGTTGGTGTGCAGGTAGCTAAAGTCATTCATACCTGCAGGGAAGATCAAGAGCGTGTATTGCAACTACTGTCCACCAGGGTGTGCTATAAACATACGTGGGAATTTAAACGCACTGGTCTCTACTTACTGCCTGTTACTGGCTTCCATTTGGCCCGGTTGACAATTCCAAGACCCCCTCCTGGTGTGTCTCCTTGGCAGGATCCGTGATGGCTGTGTGTCATGGTCAGGTGTGTGGAGGCATAGGAGATAGCTAGCCACCTGAAGAGGGATTCGTCTGCAGTCATGCGGGGCTCATCTTCAGATTCAGCATAATGGTAGCCTGCACTTCTTCCTCTGTCATCGTCTTCTTCCTCCCTGTGCCCATAACCCTGGTTGTACGCGTGATTGTAGCCATGGTCGTACCCAGGGTCATAGCCATGGTCGTACCCAGGGTCGCGACCATGGTCATAGACTGTGTCGCGACCATGGTCATAGCCTGTGTCGCGACCATGGTCGTACCCAGGGTCGCGACCATGGTCATAGCCTGTGTCGCGACCATGGTCGTACCCAGGGTCGCGACCATGGTCATAGCCTGTGTCGTGACCATGGTCAAATCCATGGCCCCGCCACTCCTCTTCTGGCTCTGCATACCCTCTGCTTCTCCAGTCTTCCACTGGCTCCTCATGGTAGCCCCTTCCCCACTCAGATACATCAAAACCTTCATCCTCATACCTGCAGACATGATTCTAAATGAATCATTAAGCACTATTTTGGTGGTTCACAGAGGTGAAAAATTAGCATTTGGACAATACGTGTGTACGTAAAGGTACAGAAACAACAACAGAACACAGGTAGGGAAACAAGTCATACTGTCTCTTCTTGCGACTCTGAGGTTTCTGGCTCTCAGCAGGCTTGTTGAGACGTAAGCTGTCATAAGGATAGGCCACAATTCTCTCCCCACCCTGGAAGTTTGCACCCAACACAAATGGATAGCTTTTCATCCAGGAGATTATAGCCCTGGTTTCCACAGCAATCTGGAACAAAAGCAGGAAGATCATGATCACACAGACAGAGGATCAGAATCTCATGTAACATACTTTTGTTTTTGTTTACCACAACCTGGTTAGTCTCAAAGACTTTATATATCTATATCTATATGCGTATTTGTTTGTTTGTTTCTTTACCGAACTATTAGCTTCAAAGTGCTCTGGTATAGGCACATGATGGTTGGGGGCGAGTTTAGGCACCATGCCCTTATCCTCAGCATCCCACAGGATACTATTCAGATCAGGGAAGTTCTGGAAGATGTCAAAGCCCTCATTGGTGAAGTGACCGGTGGTCCAACTGCTCAGCTCTGATCCCTGCAGAGTAGAAATTGGGTAAAAGAAACATACTCATCTAAGTAGCCCACTATGTTTCACAGACATTTCCTCGTTGTTTTAGACAGTATTTAAAACATGTTGTCATTGATTGATTGTTTTTTACACCGACCGTTTCAAAAGCTTCCTCCTGTCCGTCAGGGTTGAGCGAAGGCACCAGGTGGATGCGTATTCCCTCCACCAGGCGCTGGGCTCTGGGGTTTCTGTCTTTATACTCTTTGCACAGGTACTGCATGAGAAGCAGGATCATCTCCCGACCCACTGCCTCATTTCCATGGAGACCTGCCGTGAAGCGGATCTCTGGCTCACCTGTGGGGACAACCGGGGCGAGACTGTAATTGTCTGTCAGCCTTAATCTGCTGGTGTCCGCCTGGTGTTTATTAGGATTTGCGGGATACCACAGTGGTGCCATAAAGACCCAGCGTAATTTCAACGAATCAGCATCCCAGACTGTTTGAAATACTGCACATTACAGCATTTGTGTTGTTATAGCACACATTACAATAAGAACACGGCTATCTGCCCGTTTCCTGCTTGAGATCCCACCTATTTCGTGCTCTGTGGGATTGCCAGAGATTATCATGGCAACAATTTCCCGTCCCTTGGAGCTGCGGCCCAGGCTGTAGATGGTGGTGATGTTAGGGCACTCCTCATTCACTGACTTCATAAGCTGAATATGTGAGATAAAGACAACAGTAAATATGCAAAGCATTGTATTTGATTACATTACGCACTACAAAGCAGATGGTTAATAATGAATATTTTTGGTTATTCAATTTAGTTTAATCAGTTTAATCAATTATTGTGGAAATGTCATGTTGGTCTTTGGTGGTTCAAATGAAAAACTGGGACAGAATGAAGCTGCAATTTATATTAGAGCATTTAAAGCGGACCTCCTGGAATTCTATCAGCCAGCAGATAAACTTTGCAGGGAAACTCACATCAACCATCTCCGAGTAGCTGTGGTGTTTGAACTGCAAGTAGTCCACGGGAGTCACCTCATTTTGCTTGTACAGAACATTAACTGGATCTGTTTGGAGAAAAGAGCAGCAAAAATTATTCATTTTCTGTGTTTAAGGTGTGTGTGAGTGTGTGGGCATACGACTCACCAGGCAGGGGGCAGCCTAGGACCTCCAGCCTCATACAAAGAGAGCCGTTCCAGCTCTGTGGGATAATTCGCATGTAGCGGGCCACCACGGGCACCGCAAGCTGGTTCATCACTGGGGTGTCCTT